GGAAAGAGAACAGCCTCCACGTTTTGCTCAGCCTGGAACATTTGAGTTTGAGTATGCTTCACGGTGGAAGGCTCTTGATGAGATGGAAAAGCAACAGCGTGAACAGGTTGACAGGAACATTAGAGAAGCCAAAGAGAAACTAGAGGCAGAAATGGAAGCAGCTAGACATGAGCATCAGCTAATGCTGATGAGGCAAGGTAAAATCAGATAATCTACTAGTATTAAATTTGTGTTGTCCTGGATTTTCTTTGTGTGTAGCATATTGAGCTGTATGTTAAACTTAGAGATTTTGCCAGACGCTATTTAATTAAATGCATTGAACTGAGAAAGAGGAAGTTATATTTCTCCTTACACGTATTCCTTGATGATTTACAGAGGTGGATTAAGAAACTGAGGAAGGGGTGATTGCCTATGTCTGTTGTCTTCACTTCTTAAATTTGTCTAGTGTAAGTCATTTATGTAAAGAATGGTAGCTTCACACTCATCAGTAAAATTATTTTCTGTTTTTGGTGTTGCTTATGGTGCTAGATAGGACTAAGTACTGTTTGTGAGTGACGTGCAGGAAAGAATAAAACATGATATCTTGTACTTCTTCTGGCTGTTCTGCGCACCTGTGGCATGATTTTAAATGTTCCAGTAGCTAATGTTACTTTTCATTTGAAACTCAGCTGAGAAGTACGATGTGTGCATAGTATTGTATGTATGTAACAACTCAAAATAACTCACAGTTGCCATGAATTTCAGTCATTCTTGAAATTTTAAGATCGTGCATCCCTCTCTTATAATTGTTTGGACATACTATATTCTGCTAGTGCTGGGGGGGGAAAAAGTTGTCTAGCAATTGCTTTCAAGCCCTGTCTTTAAGAATGGAGCTGGGTGGAGCTTGTGTTTCTTGGGCAGAGGGGACAGCAGCAGGTGAGTATCTGCTTGTTAGCTTTCTCCCCAAAACACATTTTTCCCAAAATGCTGTGGACGTGCAATCACTGCTTTCCAATCCAGAACTATTGAACTACTACTTGGTTTTAGGGCTGTATGACTGCTAAATTGCAAGACTTGATTGGATAAAGTTTAAATGTATTACAGATCTGTTGGAAAGGATCTGAAGGTTTGTTGCCTGAACAAAACACTGAAGTATTCTTTTTTAAATCTTAATTTAAGGGAGATCATGGCTACCTAAAAAAGAATTCTTATCCCTAAGAATGTTAGATTGTAAGACAGTACAATAATTAGCTTGATAAGCTGCATGGGAGAGCCCTTTAATTTTAAAGGGATTTGAACTTCTTGAGATTCGAAGTAGTGTGTGCATTTCAAAACTTAAACCCCTGTAACTCGTATGAGCTGTCTGCCGCAATTAATTTGCTTTACTTAAAGCTTACTATTAAGAAGGGACATTTTTGTTGGTAGTATGACTTCCCTATGTGAGACTGGTTTATCTTAATTTTTTTCTGCTGACTTAAGTGACATGGATTAGAGTATTCACTAGCACCTAAATGCTTGGATATATTGAATGTAAACACATAGTCTTTTAAAATCTGTTTTAAAACATCTTCATAACTGGAAAAGAGATTAAATGGAACACATTTCATCTTTTATGTAGGATTCTTAAATCTACTGCAATTGAAAGTTGTTGTTATGAAAAGGTTTACTTGGCCTGTTTTTTCTAAATACTTGCTTTTAGTGTGAAACCATACTGTTTATATATAAAGATCTGTGCTGAAATACAGAGCATAATAAAATAAAAAACTGTTTTGAAATGCTGAATAGTTATTGCAGCACCTCAAAGGACAACTGTCAAGTTGTTTCTTGGTTTATTTTCCAAGCAAAAAATGTTAAAGCATTTGGTTTGGCCGTAAGCATAGGTATATCTTACAGGTAGGTGAGGAATGTGAAGATTCATGTAACAATCACTGTAATACATAGTACAGCCCTCCCTTTTCAGTTAGACATACTCCTTTAATTTTGTGTATATGTGTGGCTGATATTGGTAAAGATGGTTCAGTGCTGAAAATACAGGTTGGATAAATTTACCCTTGACTTAACTAATTGTTAATATTTGACAGTGCTAATGATCTGGTTCTAGAACTTACACTCTTTAATTTTTTTAGAATTTATCCACCTGTTGCCTGTACTTCATGGCAAGGTTAGGGTTTACTTTTTCTTTAATAATCATGATGTAATCATGTTTTAAACTGAGACAAAGGGCTTTATGGTAAAACATGGGAGTACAGGTTAGGTATGTTTTGTGGATATCAGGGTTTCCTTTAAGGAAGCTGTGAAGGAAAAATATTCCTTTTTTTCAATATTTATTAAGTTTCAATTTTATATAAAAAAGGGAAGAGAATTACTCCTTCCATTAAAGACGTACTAAAACATGAATGTTCTTGGTGCTAATATTCTAGTGAGGAAACATGCTTTTTGTTAGTGTGGGAGGAGGGGTTTTTTCCTTCCCCTTGTGGTTAACAGAGGACTTCTTTTTGGTACCACATAACTTGGAATTTTGTTCATATAATTAGATTTCTGCTTATTCACCTGCAGATGTTTAATTTGCCAAGCTCTACAGGTTAAGAAACATTCCTTCTGTTTAATCTTGTCAACTCTCCAGCTTCAGTGTATATGAAAACAAAGTGGTGGGTTTTTTCTCTTGTATTTATTTTCAGTCATTAGCTGCTTCTAAATCTTGCTAGTCTGAACAGTGTCTCTGGGTGTAAGTTCAGACAATGCCAAGAATATTAATTATGTTAATGAGATTGTGTCACAGGGTTTTTGAGAGATGCAGTGAGACGTCAGAACCTAGAATTAATATTTTTGTACACCTGATGCACAAACCGCAGATTTAAAGCTGAATTCAAGTAGTATTCTGAAATATAGAATGCAATATATAAATTGTCAGGAGCTAAAAAGATGGGAAGAGTGAGCTTGCTAGAGTCTATATACTTCTGCAGATGAAGGTTTTACTGAAATTACTCTTTTGAGAGCTAGTAGGACTTGATTGTGTTCATTTAAGTACTCAGGTTTTTGTGGTGTGGTATTAATACTGAAGGTAGACATCATTCTTTTGATATGTGTAATTTTTCACTTTTAAGTGTCATGTTTTGACAGATTGAGTCAGAAGTAATTTGTAAAGCAGAATATGTGTTTCCATGTGTAAGTAAATTGGCTGATATTTCTCATCTATGTATTGGTGGTATGCTTCAGACTTTTGTAAATATTCTGTCATAATGGTGCTTAAATAGCTTATGAAAATACTGGAAAACATGACTGAATTTAACCAGAAGCTTCGTTCTTTTATCAGTTATATGGGAGCTGGGCATTTGTTTTCCGTTTTTAGAACCTGAAAAATCAGCAGCTAAAGCAACTTAAAAATCCTTTTGGACTTGATATTCTTGCTTGTAGGATTAAATTCTGAGGTGAGAGTACACTTCTAGCTTCTGCCCTCTGCTCTGCACAAGATTGAGGATAAAATTAAGACCTTGCCCTTTTTGTAAGCACAAGAGAGTGCAGAAGCTAATAATGTAATAATATAATAATAATGCTTCCTGTCTCTTTTTTTTTTTTTCCACAGCTGCTTTAGTGCAGGTTTTTTCTATTCAGAGAAAGGGCCTGTGACCAGCACGTTAGTCCAAAATTACTATCATTGCAGATCTTTTAATGTGAATGGCTCTGTTGCAGTCCAAACCTATAGATCTGTATTTTCATCTGACTAGTAAGGCTTTGTGCCAAGATTCTGTCATTGTCAAATGGTAGTGGATCAAATTTCTGTATTAAAATATTAATAACAGTAAATATAAATGAATTATTGTTGTTGTTGTTATTGTTGTTGTTATTATTGTTGTTGTTGTTGTTATTGTTAATATAATACAGTTAAAATACTAACACTTTCAGGAAAGACAATCAGAACTGTACTGTGGAAAAAAAAAAAGAGGGCACTGGGAAAAGTAGGAATTTACACCTTAAGTATTAAGGGGAGTAAGTGATAAATTTCTAGCAATTAGTGATAGAAAGTAGGAAATCCTGTACCAGTGTATTAACACAAGAAAAAGGGAATGCTACATAAATTTGAAAGAAAAAAGAACTGAAAAGGAAACATCTTTTCCCACAGTGAACAATATTGAGCATGGATGGAATGGGTCACTTCTTGATCTCAGTAAATACCCTGAAACAACCTAAAGGTTAATTTTAAAAGAAAAAAGTGCACTTATTATTCAAAATAATCTAAATGCTATTTTTAAAAAAAAGTGTGCTTGTGGTGTGCTCCCTGAGTATCAGGATAACAGTGGCCAAGCCTTCTGTGACAAGCACAGTTGGAAAGAAGCAGTCCTCAGACTTTGTGATTTGAGTGAATCTTCAATGTAATCATATTCTGTTGAAGTGTGAAATTTGTTAATTTTGCAGAAGAGATTGGGAAAGCAAGCCTGCAAAATATGCTTGAGAAAGGACTTCTAATGTCAATAAGGATGCTGTGAGAGTAAAAATTTGATAATCTTTGTTAGAAAAGAAAACAAATAACATTGGGGCGAAATGTAGTGGTCATTGTAGTTGGTTTTGGATACTAAAGTAAAAGGTTAAGTTGTAATAATATATGCTGATGCATATTTTATTATTGAAGATGCCTTAATTTGTGTAGTTAAGAAATGCCTAGAGATGTGTGGAGTAGTTGAACTAAAGCATAAAAGGCATGTAATAGATGTTATAGTGGAATGTACCTCATGGTGTCTGTGAATAATGTCATGTGGCCAATATTTTATGAAGACAGAAAAGACAAACTACTGCTTTCTAACAAAAGGTAGAATTAATATGCATTGAAGACAGCATAAATTTCCGGTCAGAAATCAATAATGTGACTGATCAGAAACTAGTACAGCAAAGTGATCACTATTAATTGTGCCCTGCATTTTAAGAGCATTTTAAGATGTTTTTAAGAGAATACGGCTGTTCCTTTCTGGTAATGTTAAAAGATCAGTCATTTGTAAGTCGTGTGATAAATCTCTATGGAGGCTCAGATTGCATGCACTTGAAATTCAAACTGCTTTTTTCTGATGTGTGCCATGAGGTGGTCTGCAGTAGGTAGTGGAGTGTAAGCCCATATAGATTTTACTAGTTTGCTTGGTAGTGTAACTTTAGCAGTACACAGCATTGTGAGAAAATTGGTGCCTTGCCCTAGATGTAAAACCAGGATGTGATTTAAGAGTTTGAGAGTTTTTGGTCCTTTTCTTTGTTGGAGGACTTCAGATTTCTGTTCCCATAACTTGCTTTGGAGGCTTTGCCGGTCCTGTACCTTGCGGTGTTTGTGAGCTGTGGATCCAGTGTGTTTTTTCATATGCCAGACTTAGCATATGACAGGAAGAAAATGGTTAAATGCGTTGAGAAATTTCTTTAAAAATTGAATGTTAGACTTGTAATCTGACAGCAATAGCAATTTTTTGTGTTGCCACATTGTTGATTAACAGCTTTTATCTTTATTACATTTTTACTCCTGTTAGATCTCATGCGACGTCAAGAAGAATTGAGGCGTTTGGAAGAACTTCGAAATCAAGAACTTCAAAAACGCAAGCAGATACAATTGAGGTATTTTGTCTTCCACTGTGCAGCCATGGCAGGCAGCTGCTGTAGGCCTGTGTGAATTGTAGAGCTTACTTTTGATAATGAATCATGGAATGGTTTGGGTTAGAAGGGACCTGAAAGACCATCTAGTTCCAACCCCCCTGCCATGGGCAGGGACACTTTCCACCAGACCAAGTTGCTCACAGCCCCATGCAGCCTGGCCTTGAACACTGCCAGGGAGGGGGCAGCCACAGCTTCTCTGGGCAACCTGTGCCAGTGCCTCACCACCCTCACAGTGAAAAGCTTCTTCCTAACATCTAATCTAAATTTCCCCTCTTTCAGTTTGAAGTCATTACCCCTCATCCTACCACTGCACTCCCTGACAAAGAGTCCCTCCCCAGCTTTCCTGTAGGTGCCCTTTAAGTACAGGAAGGCCGCTATAAGGTCTCCCTGGAGCCTTCTCCAGGCTGGACAAGCCCAACTCTCTCAGCCTGTTATTGTAGGGGAGGTGTGGTAAAAATGAAATGTTTCTGCTGCTAAAATGTTCCTTTTCAGAAAGCATAATGCATGATGTTTCTGTTAATGTTCTTGAACAGAGAAGGGATCACTTATGCTAATACAAAAGAATGATTTCAGGTATTTCTTGAATTTTATAATTTCATATTTACTAGTTCTGTTGTAAATTTCCGAGCTTTCTAAATAGTGTAGAAATGTCTTAAAATAAATATAGGAAACAGATTTATGTTAGTCTTGTGACTGAAACATAGCTGCAATAGATATGAATGTGCTTCTAAGATTGATGGGCAGGTGATCTGCATGTGGAATAGTAGTATTGCAGCTTCATAGCCTGACATGACATTTTTGGGGGCAATTTCACTTGATAGTCTGTTATGTTGCAAACAATTTCTCCTTCAAGATCTCTTTCATACAGATACTTGTTTTCATGCCTCTGCTAAAATTTAATGAAATAGACATATCATCATGTTGGTTGAGTTTATGCTTTTTATGTTCAATATCACAAGAAATGTAGATGAGAAAAAAGAACAATACACAAACACATCTCGGGAGTTAAAAATGGGTCTTTTGGCAGTATTGGAATGTTTTAATTCATAGTGACATGCTAAAAACTGGAGTATTTTAACCTGCTTACTAATACGTAGCTGAAAGAACAGGTATAGAATGTACTGATATTGTAATTACCTGTATTCCGGTTCGGGGAAAAAAAAAAATTCAATAATATTCAAACCCATTAAGTGGAATAGATTAGTGCCTTACACTATATTAAAAAAAAAAAAAAAAATTAGCACTTGTGTTCCTATGCTTGATCTTATCTCCTGAGATTTAGTACGAGCCTGAACAGGTCAAGAATTTAATTTGACATAGTTTTTAAAAAATATTCTAGACATGAAGAAGAACATCGGCGTCGTGAAGAAGAGATGCTACGCCAGAGAGAACAGGAGGAATTACGACGACAGCAGGAGGGGGGATTTAAGCCAAATTTCATGGACAATGTAAGTAAAATTCTAATACAAAAGTACAGAATAAAAAAGATTTTTTTTTTATTGTAATATTTTTATATACTAGCTATTGAGCTGCTGCCTTGTTTACTGTTTTTCCTTCAGTGTTCCATTGTTCTCATGAGTGGAGTGGAACAAATATAGTACTGTAGTTACTCTCTTCTACGATGGCATCACTGTTATTTTTCCTACAAGCTGGTGATGTAACAGTTTGGTTAAGTGGAAGTGCTCAGATCATAATTTCCCATTTTTATTTGGGAAATGAATTTTTCCAATGAAATAATAGAATTTTTCTAAGTGGGAGGTCATCAGAGTAAATGATGTTTCTATGAGGAGGTGCCCTAGTTTGACTGAAGGTTTAAATTTTAAACCAGTTCAGGCTGTTAGCTTATTTGAATTGCTTATTTTGGTTTATGCTTAATTGATTAAGAATGTACTTCAGAAACAAAATGGGCAGCGTTAACTACATACGGAGCCTAAAATCACTCTCCCCTTTGACCCTACTGTAAAACTAGATGAGGAGAGCCTCAAAATCTTTACTAAAGGAGACTGAAAGATTATAAAGGTGGAAAAAAAAATTGTCTTCTATAATTTCTACATTATTTATATTAGTAATTTAGGTGTGTTCTGCCTCTGAAGACTCGTCCTGCAGGACTAGCAAAATGGTGGTATCTGAGGAGTCAGCTTCTAAATTTTCATGATGATCTATTTTGGTCAAGGGTATGATTTATTTTTTTTCTACCAACCAAAGCAGCTAAATTAACACAACCTGTATTGTGAATGCTTTTTTCATGTGAGAAGGATGCCTCTTACAGTTACAGCTGTTCTTAGTGAGGAAGTGATGTGTAAGCGATCCACACAGTACTCTCTTACATTATAACAACTGTAGTCTGCAGGAGGGAATTTTGCTCACCTTCACAGGTACATAAATAAAAAATAAACTGCTGGTTTCTCAGCTACTTTCTGATTTTGTGTTTTGTGGAAGACATACCTGTTTTACGTTCTATACCATAACATTTTCTGTAGGGGTGAGAAGAATGTATTATGTATGTTCTGAGTCATCCAGAGAGAAGTTAGAAAGTAAAAGATTTCCTGTTCTCAGCAGGACATCTTTTTTCCCATCCTCTGCCCCTCAGTGTTTTTAGTAAAAATGGGAAGGAAGAAAAATTGTTTCTCTGATGTTACTAGCAGCTATCAGGTTGATTTTGTTGATTGTGTTTTGAGAAACTTGCAGCGGAAAACAAGCAGTTATTTATTTCCATATGTGCTCACGCTGTAAAAGAAAACTGCTGTCAGCATGTCTTTTCTTTGGGGTGATAAAGATCAAGAATTCAAAACTCGTAATGTCCTGCAGTGTGTTCCCACATATTATTAAACATACTTCGTGAAACAGCGTAGACCAATTGTCTTATGTAATTTAGAAATAGCACTTACTGATTGTGACTTCTGTAGTGCCAAATATGAAGTTTCATTTCACCATAATATCTTCACGTAGCATCTTTTGGGGTGGCCAGACTTTCTTGACCCTATAAGCTACCTGGCAAGATCCTCCTGTGGCTGCTCTGTGAGACCCATGCTACTTGCTGCAGATCGCTGCAGGAAGGGAGTCAACCCACAGGCTTGAGATGGCTGTAGCTCCCTCAGATTCCGTTGCTGTTAGGAGATTGTGGCCTATATCCTGCAGCTTGGGGTGCTGGGGAAAACTAGATCATGTTGGCCACAGCAACCTCTACTGGTTTTCTTCTTGCAGCTGTCTTGAGATAATGTTACTTCGCTTCTGTGCTTGAATTGCTTGCCACAGTTTGGCCATCCTTGTGCTTATCTGCATCTTTAAATTCTGAACTCTATGTGAACAGAAACTATTCGAGTTGGTGTGCTGGATGTGGCGAAAATGTAGCGTAAGGAGGGAAGAGGAATGGTTCACATGGAAAGCACTTCAATCACTATGCATAATTTTTGCCACTTTTATATGATGAATTTTTGGGGGCGGAAGGTAAAGGTGGAAGAATGCTTTGGAAGAGTGTAACTTTCCCACTGAGTTGAATTACTGGAATTGTGTGTTCATCTGGAACTAATTAATACACTGCAAGAATATGTAGATGTGTCTGTGCAGTGACAGCCCTACCAAGTGTTACAAGTTATATAAAGGAATATATAGTACAGGTGGTGGTTTTTTTAACATCATGTGAAGTTGAAGTGGCATATACAATAATTAAAAATGCTTTCTCTAGTCTTCGGACTAGGCTTTAGTGTTGTGATCATGTGTTGACTTATGTTTTACTTCTAATGTCCTTTGACTCTAAAAGGAAAAATTGAAACAAAATTGGAAGTGATGCATTTATTTACTTTCTTTAGCAACTGTTTCTGATAATGTGTAGCTCTGAGCATGGCCTGTCGTTTCATGGGAGTTCATTATGTCTTTAGGTAACTGTAATTAAGTTGCATAGTGTGAATGGGAATTGAGAAAGCCTTTGCATTTTGCAGTAGAGGAGAATTGTAAACCATTTCTGGAGATTGCAAAATGATCCATCAAATCTTTTTTCAATTTAGTAGAACTTCTTATACAACTAAATTTTTTTTATTTATTCTTACTAATACTTGTTTACTGTGAACAGACTTCATTTGATAATTACTTCTAGTCTCAGATTACCATTGTAGATATGCTGAAAAAAGTTACTGTCTGTTTGAAAAGTTGCCTCTTGGTGAAAATTATATTTTATGATACTGGTGGATAGTTTTTACCATATCAGGTCTTGATAAACTCTTTTGGCCTAATCTTTATAACATATTGAAGTATTCTGCCAACTGTGTATTTAAAAGGAAACCAATAATTGTTTCTAATCCTTGTTTTTGTTTCTTAAAAGCTTGAAAAGTAAGCTTCATTCACTTATATCCTATCCCTTTTTACTGTTCAGTATAAAAGAAGGACATAAATGGTAAGTGCATGACAGCCAGAACTGTAACCTCTCATATAAGGCTGCAGTATTAGGCTTTCCTGTTTAAAGTTTCTTTCTGTATCTGTTCCCTAACTTGTTAAACTTTGATTTTTCAGTATAACTACTTTTGAAAAACATCTTATAATCAAGTTTAACGCAGTTACCAGTTACTTGGTTTAGTTACAGATGATAAACATATTTTCTGTATGGAGATTTCTCTTCCAGAAGCATTCTTGTTCATGGTGATGCTTGTACATTAAAAAATTGATTGCATTGCTTGTTAATCTACTGGGCAGCCTAGTGGTGCCTAAACAATTTATTAATCTAGTTGTGTGATCTCTAGTAGATAAGTTGTTTTTTCCCTTTGTAAAAGTCAGTTGAAATCTGCTGTTGCAGCTCAATATATATGCATTCTAATTTAATGATAGGTTAATCAGGAAACTTGCTAATATGTAATATTTTTGTAATTTTTATTTTGCATACATATTTCTTGCTGAAAGAGGAGCTTGCTGATGATGATTGGAAACAGTATTTTATTTTTCAGCAGCACAATTTTTAATTTTTTTTTTCAATAATAGTACTTCTGAGTGCTAGTAATACAGTAATTATTCAAACTGTGCAATGGTTACTATCCAGTTGTGAATGGCTTAGGTAGATTTACATTGTTGAATCTTAATCAGAGCCTTTTTACCAAATAATTCCGGTTCCAGGAACTACTCCCATTCCTGTCACCAACTTAAAAGAGTGATTTGGATTTAGGTTATTGAAATTGTTTTCATGTGTCTACAAAAGAGACCAAAATATGTAGGAGTTGTGGTCTCAGTTTTATGCTGCACAAATTTAATTCTGTAGTAACACTGCAAAATAGTGTCGGGTGTGTATTGTACTTAATGAAACAATAGCTATGATACAGGCCTACAGCTTACAGCTGCTCTTACTGATGATATAAAGAGGGAGTTGAGATTTTTCAGTGTCATTATCCTCTTCCCTCCAGGGAAACTCCCCCTTTTTCAAGTGTAACTTGCAAATGTAAGGAACTTTCTTGTGAATTCATCAGTTTCAACATCTGAATGCTTACTATTCTTTCATATAAGACTTTATATATTAAATACTTAAGTTTTTTTGTCTCCTACTCTTTTCAAGAGTTATTTCTAGATGTTGTTTTTCTTTCCTTTAATTTTTCTTACAAAGAGGCCCTGTTGCTCAAGTATGTTGGATAAGTATCTGCATAAAGTGGCAGCTGCTAAAGCAGTGGAGATTGCCTCAGCAGCAGAGATTGTAGTGGACTTGGATCAAAAGCTGTAAGACAGATGAGAGCAAGGGAGTAAAAAAGCACATCCCAAAACAATGCCAGAAACTGGATTGAAAAATACCACAGATATTTAGTCTTTTCTTGTAAGAGTTTTGTCCTTAGAGCGGTTTATAAGTGTTTTATAAATGTATAGCAGTTACTATTTTGAGCCTACTGAGGTATATCCCTCACTTGTACATTCATTTGCAAGTTAAGTAGTAGACATATTTGCAACAAGACTGTCAGTTAGATTTCTTTGGACTTTTGTAATTCAGGAATATTTTTTGCACTTGTTGGCTCTTACGTGAGTAGAACTGCGTTTGTTTTTTTTCCTATCTTCTGATTCCATTATGCTCAAAAGCCCCAGTTATGTAAGAAGTTTGAATTTTCACTTAATGCACAATTGTGGCCTACTTTAATTCAGAACTAAACTAAGCTAAGGCAGATTTCCAATAATAAATAAATTAATAAAAATTTCCAGGGATCTTTTCAAATTTGATCTGCTTTCTACTATAATAAATTTTGGTTGTTTTATCTTGATAGCCTGCTGTACTTAATGAAGCTGATGGTGGTGAAGTTTTGTAAGGTTGTGTGAATAAAGTCTGTGTTTCTTCACAAACTGCTAAAAAGCGAAGGTGCTTTATAAAAGCTCTTTTGTAGAAGGTTGGGAGAGATGAATTACCTCCTTATTGCAATCCAGCATACATACTTGTGGAAGAAGTAGTTAATGTTTGACACATTAAAAGCCTTTTAAGGTAAAACTAGAT